CAAGGCCAGACAGACAGTGGGATAACTTAAAAGGCATTTGTTTAATAAACGGGCTGGAGTAGCAGCGGCATTAGAAGAGAAAAGCAGGTTAGTGACCATGATTATTTGACAGAGGATGATCGTCCATGTGAGTATCCTACAACATGCTACGCCGCCAAGTGTCCCATATGCTGCAACCCTGAGAACATGCAGGAGTACCAAGCCAGGTCAGGCAACAGATCAGAACAGGAACAGGCAGGCTCAGAGGTCCAGGAATCCAAAGATAGTTCAGGCAAACAAATCAGACGGGAACAGGCAGCCTCAGTGGTTGAAAGGCAGAACAGGTCAGGATCATGAAATCAGAAACACCAAGGAACCCTAAAAACACTCTCAACACTGACAAGAGAGAACAGGACTAATAAGGCCATGATAACTGGGAGCAAGCACCTTAAATAGAGGCAGGAGCATGTGGATCAGATGAGCAGTGATTGGAAACCTGGCAGAGTTAGAGAGATGAATGAAATGAAAAATTAAGCCCGTCATCAGTTCCAAGATCATGACATTTCAGGAAGTAGTGGAGTTGTGCATAGAACCCATTATAAACATAGCCCAAATAAGGAAAGGACAATAGACTTGAGTCTGATATTGTCAGACTTACATTCTGAAGCAATACTAACTTGAGTGATCTCAGATCGACATAACAGGCTGTCATCACCAGTTAGTAATAACAATCTTACTATACTTAACCTTATCCCCGGCCAGCCGTTTCAGATAGGTTTTGATGTCACCCATTCCAGCTCCTGACGATAATTTGATTATGGTCCTTGGTGTGTCTAATGCCATTTTAAAGGAAGAAGGGGAATCAGGAGCAGGAGAAAGGCAGAAACTTGGACATATATGGAAAGGCATCCAGGAGACAGGTAGACAAACAAGTAGAAAACATAGTAGCAACTATTGACAAGTAGATGACTCCTTACAGCAATGAGAAGAAAAAGAGCACATGAAATACTGAGCGCTCCCAAAAAAAAAGTGCAGCAATAGAAAATTTGTTTAAGCGTGACTATATAAAGTTAGAGCAGATGTGTCACAATAGAGATGTGGGATCAAATAGAGAGTGTCAGAAAGACCCTACAGATCATCAAATCCAGCAGAGGAAACATGAAGTGGTGCAAGTTGCCTTATCTTGTCCACACTGAACATTCATATATTAGTTATTTTACCACCTTTGTGTAAGTCTGCATGTTTCCATTTGTCACCTTGTTGCTGGTAAACAAGAATTTCAATATGAGAGACAGTAAATGATACTTTTATTTCCAATCTAAAATATGCTGAAGTTCAAGGTTTTCTAATGAAAAAACATGTAAACACATTTTGTGGCAGAGTCAATACTTTTCTAAAAGCTTTGTTTCATGAAACCAATATAACCACGTTTGTTTCCATATTTGATCATTGCGACTGTGACAGTGTGCATAAGTTAATGTTACCTGTGATGAGTATAATTTTATCTATTATAATATTAATTACCATATCCAAGAAATTGAAAATAATTCGTACCAATATCAGTTTTTATTTATTTATTAACTTTGAAAACTATTGTAGGGATAAGATAATTAGTAATTGTATGGAGGAAACATGCTGCCTAGAGACTTTAAAAAATTTCAATAGATTTGGTAGTATTTTAAAATCTACATTCATGATTTTTCTTTATTTAGCTGCAGGTGCTATCATTGTCCAGAAGATGGCAGCATTTCCCAATTGTTTAGCAGTATCTATTTTTCCTCACTGTACTTTTTCACCCATATCATTCTCACAAACACAATGAAGAGCTGCTCAGTTTTATTTTGGTTTAAATTATTATTATTATCCTGCTCTGTAGTAGAATCTGAGGACTAATGTCTTTTAGTGTTTTAGCCTTTTGAGATCCACCTTTTTATACATTCCTGAGCTGAACACATTCCAGACCAGCTGATGGAGGGATAGATGAAGACGAATATTAGTGTTGATGCACAGGAGCTGAAATCACAAATGGTCCTGACCACAGTAGTGGGGCTTTCACTGGATGGATAAAACCTAACTGATCAGAGCACTTTTTTTCTGGAATGAGGACATTGCCGTGATGCAATTGTTACCCTAAAAAACATTTGAGCTTTGATGACATGAAGCACAATTACTGTATTCAGCCCAACACTGAATAGCAGGAAAATGTTCTGCAGTCTGGACCTAGTCTGGACTCATTGACAACCCATTTAGATCACTTGCATGACCTAATCATTGCACCCAGGTTGGCTTAAGAGAGGTGATCACCTCCAATGGCTTTAAAAGCTTCCCCCATAATCTTTTGGGACTTCCTTGCCTACAGTACCATTGCATGAAGAATAAGCTACAAACAAACATTACTGTCTGAGTAAAACCATGCACTCTTTATTGCTTGTTGTCCTACAATCATGAAGGTTATTTTATCACTGGGTTTTAAACATTTACTGTCAAGAAATGCCCCCTACATCTGCAGACTAAAGAATTTTAAGCTTTCAGGTTCAACACTAAAGTTGTTGCATTTGAAATCCCATAGCTCCATCTTAGAGCACATCACAGGCCTATGAAGACAGAATCAGCCTTCCAAGAACATCTCCAGGAATTAAATGACTCATTTCTTAACATAATCTTAAAAACTCGTCCATATATTTATCTTAAATAGAACTGATTTTTGCTATTATGCTTTCACAGGTCTGACTTTTCTTGTGTGTACATTTAATTAATTTCAAGTGATTTTTCTTTTCTTATTTTAACATTAAGATCTACCTTTGTGGTAGTACTTGTCCACAGGTACTTTAGTTTTTCCTGTAAATCAGAAAACGTTTGCCCTTTTTTAAAGTGTGAGGTTTTAAATAGGTTTGTCACTCAGTGTCATTTCCTTGTTTGCCAGCAGACTTTCTGTGGCACTTCTCTTCTCATTTAGTTCCTGACATCAAAACCCTTCCTTTTCCTTGCTGCATCTTGGCCTCGGGATTTAGGGACAGGGTTAACTTTATCAATTTGGCCCCTGGGATGTACAGTTTTTTTGTACTTATTGTCCGGACAGAAAGGCTGTACCAATTAGAGAGCCTGTGTAATCACACCAGTGTTACATCATGTGAAGGAAGACTGTCTACTCTATACTCTACTTAATAGATAAGTAATAAAACAGGCATATATATGACAAATAAAAGAACAACCCTAACAAACCATCCACATACACAACAAAAAGTAGAAGAGATGCCAAACAACCATCCCAGGAGTTTCTGAAACTATAATGGAAATGAAACTGGCAGAACTTTGGTCCGGCAGCCAAGATAATTTTAGAGAGAAAAAGATTTCTCCTTTAAATTGACCAAATAATCAATCCTTCGTTCATCCTGAATCGGCTAATTCTCGGAGGAGCTGATCACAAAGTTCAAAGAGTTATTCAGGTCCTCCATGGCTGCATCCATCCTCTCCTTTAGGACTTTAAGAGACTATCATCTGCAAACAAACCAACACAATAACCTGAGTAAAAGATCCTTAGTTTTCAGCCTAATTTATTATGTAATTATACTTTGGGCCTTTTTTTTTTCTTCATATTTTGATTTTTTTTAAACATTCCGGATTAGAATTGTGAAAATAATGAATAAAGACCTTTTTAATGAATTGTTTATTGCAAAAATACTTTTAGCATTAAACCGAACATAAAGTGTGTTTAATCGGAACAAGCCTGCAGGGATGTTAACTTCACGTCAGTCATGTTTGTTCTGACAGATCAGATTTCTGATTCTGCTGCTTACTTTTCTTTGCTGTTATGTTATAATTATTTTAACACTCATCATGTCACAGTGGGAATATAGTTTTATTTAAATAATAAACGTTTGTTTAAAACGCTTTTTACTGTGCTATCTAAACATAATTATTCATGTTTCGAACCTAACTTCCTTTCATTCTTTATCAAACATTTGATCTTTTTATGTTATCATGTTATCTTATTTATTTAATGTATTCACTGTAAATACTTGTTTTTTTTTAACCACTGCAATTTACTTTTTCATTTTCTCATTTAATAATCCTGCTACTTATATGTGCAATAGTGTCTTAATTTGATAACTTTATACTGTGTTAATAAATGCAACAAAGGTGCCTTAAAGTAACCTGTTATCCAAACTCACTCCAGGAAAAATATCCTGAAATTCCTGGATTGTCTTTGCTTGGCTGTTTTTTTGTTGTTGTTTGTTTGTTTGTCTGTTTTTAATTTAGAAAAAACTATGAGTTTGGATTTTTTTTAAAGACACAAAACTAGACTAAACCTCATAAACTCTCTGCAGAAAGTGATGTGGGCCCCCATTCCTGTCTGCTCTATGTCGGCCACCTCGGTAGAAACCAGTTAATGCACTTCATGGGTTCTGCTCATTAAAATTTTTTTTTTCTTCAATAAATTTACAGAGGCTGTGTGTGCTTGAGTTGTTGTTTTTGCTGTTTGTCTCTGTGTTTCCATGTGATAGACTGGTGACCTGTCCAGGGTGAACCCCGCCTCTCACCCATTGGCAGCTGGAGATAAGCACCAGCACCCATCATAACCCTGCAGGGATAACCATGATGGAAAACGGATGGATGGAAGTTGAACCATTAAACATTTTTTTTTATTGTTTTTGTTTTTTTGTATAGTTTTCTGTACCAGAACATAAAAATACTTCCCACTGTTGCCTTCTTGTAAGAAGGTTTGTAATATTTGTTTCTTTTTTGTGACTGGTGGTTGGGTGTCAAACAAACACATTTTAAGGGCCATGTGTGGCTCTAATGTAACTCTTTAGACACCCCTGGGCCAAACAGTACAATGATGGTATATCAAAGTAGATTTTTTCTTGATTAAATAAACTTAAAACAAATAAAAGAGAGATTTTTTTTCCCCCAGAATTGGACCCAAGAAAAAATGAAAGCAGACAAGAGTCCAAAAAATTCTGTAAAACTTGAAGCCAAGCTTCCTTAGAACGAAAAACAGAAAAATCCTGAAAAACATAAAGGAATAACATCCTGATGCAGAGCTTTGCTTTGTGACAAAGATCCAGATATAAACATCTTCATCTCGTGATCATGGGAGTTGCATGAGACCCCATGACACTTAAGTTTGATTGGTCTGAGCATAGATGCTATTTCTGTCATTTATTCTAAATGTTTCTCCAGTCTTGTAGTTGTGTATTTGTCCAGCAGATGGCGGCAGTGTGCAGGGCAGCTGCAGAGCTGCGGCTCGCAGCGAAGCGCCTGGACTCCTCCTGAGAGCCGCTGCGCTCATCCGGACTCCCTCCACTCTCCTCCCTGTCTGCCGCCGAGCTCCTCCGGCTGCAGACCGACCTGAAGGCGGCACAGAGAGCCATCCAGCAGCCTCAGGTTGTTTTCCTGGTTTTTAAACCTTCCTTACAGATTATCTATAAATCTGGCACGATGCGGGCGCTTCATCCAGAATAACAAACCCAGAGGCAAGTTGGGACCGATTTTTGGATTTGAATGGTTTTGGATATTTTGTGAGGAAGCTGTGGTGAAGCGGGTTGAGTCCACAGGGTTTTATCCCTGAACGACCTTGTGTTTTTCTTTCTGTGGACGCAGGATTTTCCGGGAATGGAGAGGAATGGGATTGCTTGCACGCAGTGAAAAGTATGTAGACCCCCTCTGGATCATATTTACATGCAACATGTTTGTTTGATTGTTGTTTTTATAGAGAGGCTGCTCTCAACTCATCTGTCTAATATAAAATTAAATTTCAGCTCATTAAATTGATCAAATTCTGAGGTTAAGGTTGTGTTACCTACTAGAGGGACCCCCCCTCCCCATTTCCACTCCTAGGCACACATTCTGCATATAAATCATTGATGGCCTGCATGCTGTGTGGCTTCCAGCAGGATGCTCTCTGAATGAAGCACATGTATGGCCTGTTGTGGAGCTGTTACCATGAATCTGGGTGCAGAGGCTTGTTCTGTGGAACAGATGGGACACACAGGCTTACATCTCCACCAGTCCACAGCTAAACACACACACAAACACACACATGGACTTGTGCCACGCCACACTATCTCAGGCCGATGGATTGAGTCATAAAACACTCCAGGGCAGAGGCTGAGGGGAGGCTGGTGACCCCTTCAGAGGTGAAGCCTTGACCTCCAGTCTGAGCTGCCAAAATAAAAACCTTGGCAGTACCATCCCTTCTGGGGTTTTAGGCAGCTTCAGGAAAATAAAGCAGTAAATTCTTCCTTTTTTCTCTTCGCAGTTCAAGAAAGCATGATCGCCTCCCATCGCCAAAGGAGGACGATCTGATCATCACAGCTTGGATCTCAGAAATGGATAACAGTGGATGACAAAAACCTAAAAACTCCCAAAAGTTGTCAGAGGAGCTAATCCTGCAGCGAGTCCATGAGACATCCTCCAGAGCATGGGGTGTGTCAAATCCAAGAGGAGCGATGCCTCCCAGCATGCCAACTCAACGGAGAAGAAGGCGCGAGGAGAGAAGGCCTATTTGGTGGGTTCATCGGAGCCGGCCTCGGTGGAGGGCTCCCCCCAGGTCAACCCGGTCCTACTGGAGTATGCTCAGAAACTGTCTGAGGAAATCGTAGCCCGGGCGGTGCAGCAGTGGGTGGAGGTGGACAGCCGCTACAGTGACATCCCCTACATTGAGTGTGACGTTCCATGATGGGAAGCAAATTCCACATGTGGATCACTTGGACTCCCTCTGGACCTTTTTTTTCTTGAGTATGCAGAACAAAAGGAGATCATGGGTTTTTCTGTAGTGAGACTGAGTACGAGGGAATTCAGTTTTGACCTACTTTTGGATGGGATTATGCTTGGGATTGATCCTAAAACCCTCCTCCAAACTGACCAAAGCGTTCTGATCCCAGCTCTGTGATTATGGGAGCAGTAGTAGGTTTGTGCTCATCTTCCTCTGTCTATATCTGTCCATGAATGGACCTATGAACCCAGGAATACCGTCCGACACTCGATCCTCATCATCTCCTCTGTACCAGGCTGAGCAGGGACTTATTAATAGATCAGAAACACTCCCTACCATGGAATTCCTTATAGTCAAGGGGAGTAACTCCTTTTGGCCTAAAAGGAGATACTACGGTAACATCCTCAGCTCTGCTTCTCTCACTGCCAATAGTTCGCCTTAATCACTGCCCTCCATCTAACAGGACCTCAGATTTCTGAAGTACAGATGATGCATTTCTAATTGGACGCAGCCTCTAGACGCGGCAGGGACACAGAACTTCAAAAGGGTTGGACTCATGGGGTAGTGGAGCTGAGACACTGCTAAAACCACCCGACAAAAAATGTTGTAGGCCTTGTTTTGTCCCCTTTGTGTCACTGTGCCATCATTACTGTGCTGGTAATTCTTTAAACCCGTAATACAGTTCCTTTGGTGCTGCTTCAGGTACTTACCAAATATACACACTGCAAACTGTGCAAAAGTCTTGAGTAATCAGTCGTTCCTTAAATTTTGTATTTGGTTGTCTGAACCTTCTCATATAGGCTGTTAGAGGGTCTTTAAAGGTGGTTCTCTACAACATTGACAAAATGTCATTGGTTAGAGTCATGAAAAATATCACAGAAAACCCAGTTGGACTGAATGAAGGTATGAGCTCCAAAAAGATGATTCTCAAGAGCTTACAGGGTTCTTTCCCATCATGTGCAGTTTGAACTTTCAAACCTGAAACAAATCAGAGCAAAATTGCTCTGTCAAGGTTTTTTCTTTCCTCCCAAACAGAAAACGTTCGTAGGATCTTTAGAAGTGGTCTTGATCAAAGTTTCTCCAGACTCTAAGAAAGATCTTAAAATCTTTTACATTGGTTTCCATTAGCTCTTTATGACCTTTGAATCATTTAAGATGAAAATGTGTTTTATTTGAAATATTGGGTTTTTTTTTTATTCTTACTAGTCTGACCAGTTCATAGAAAATAAAATGTATTGGATCTACAAATGTCCAACCTCCATCAGATGATCAATAGAGAAAATAGCCAGGAAAGACACAGAGATGCACATTTCTGGAGCTGAAGTTCTCTGTAGCACAACTGCCACCATTGTTACCTTGGTTCTGTTTTACTGGTAAAAGAAGTTTTAGGTTAAAGACAAGATGGTGATTTTTTTTTTATCCACTGATGTTTTTTCTGACATAAATCACTTAACAAATGAGAACAGTGCATATCCATTAGAAAATGTTTATTACTGTGCTTCTTTTTTTATCAGAGCAGCCATATTGGATTTTAAAGTCAAAGTTTGCAGGAAGCCTCATATGTTTCTTTCTTGGTGTTTTGACCTCAGGTCATTTTAATTTTTTTTTTTTTTTTTTTTAGAAATGTACATTTGATAACAAACTTAACAAACAGAGCCAATATTTTTATGAAAAATAAAGCCTTGTCTTTTAGTGGTGGCTAACAGCTTTTTGGGGAATACCTTTGTTGGAAAAAAAAAAAGACATTTCCCATCAAACTTTTGATTTTGGATTTTTCATGGATTTATCTGAGGAATCAGGAAAAGTTATCTGTCCTCTGTTTTAAGAACAGTGATTCATACCTTTTGTGATTGAATGGGTCATCATCAGAGTTAGGTGGACATGGAAGACAGCAAAACGTAGATATAAAGCTGTCAAAGGTCATAGAAAGACCTTCAGAAAGACTGGAGAGCTGTTTATCAAGTCCTTTTAAGGATTTTAAAAGGCCGGAAGCAAAATATAAACAGAAATTTGGACACGTTAGATATTTTGCCTTCCACTCAAAGACAAATCAGGTTTATTACTGATTCCAGGTTGAGATCTGAGAGGACAAAAATCATGTGTCCACACATATTTGTTGTCTCTTGGTCATAAAATAACCGGAAAATGAGTCAAAACAGATTTAGAGGGGAATAGGCTTTCCTCACAGAATTACTGAGAGGAGTTTGGTTCTCTGTGTCTCTGAGGTATTTTCTCTGGTTGCTCTGGGAATACAGGGTTTTAAAGGTAGCCAAAACTTGTTTGCTCCAAGTAGGAGCCATGTCTGCATTCTTGTCACAATGTCGAGCCCCTTTAAGCAAGTGTTGGACTCTTTCAAAGCTGCCTGTTGGATCACCCAGGGTGTTCCCTGTTCTGCCTGTTCAGAATAAAATCACCAGTCTTCTCTTTTCACTGTTAAAAAGAAGTTTTCTCATTTAGGAATCCTGATAAATTTTAGCACTGGTTGTACAAAGTCCTCAGTCTTCCATCAAAAATAACC